TATATATATATATATATATATATATATATATATATATATATATATATATATATATATATATATATATATATATATATTCATAAGTCTCAAGTGATTCCATCAAATTTCTTAGCTGTTTCCGACAGTTAGCAAGACTACCGGTTAGCAAAATCCATAAATTATAATAAACAAGGAAGTATCGCAAATCGTATTATTGATAAATTAATAACGAATCATTAAATATACCAAGGTACCATTCGATCTTTTTAAAGTCAATAAAGTAGGCCTAATTATATAATATTTAGATATCGTAACTTAAATCCAATAAACTAGGCTATGTGTCAATAAACTAGCTGTTCGACAATGTCTTACTTCTGTGTTCGACAATGTCTTACTTCTGTACAACTTCTGTTGAAAACAAAGGATTTCTTTATCTTCTAATTTTCCCTTGCATGCTTGATGAGGGAAATTTAGAAGACAAAAGCGTATGCATGGTAATGAGGTAAATTAGTGATTAATCGTACCTCGCGAGACAAAGGATTTCACGGCAACTATGGTATTATTATAAGTAATAGCATGGCATTCAGGGCGATTAGTGATTAAATGTACCCGAAAGCCGAGAGAGGTTTAGTAAAAGTCTACTAAAGGTTTAACTAACTAGGTTTACTAAACCTCTCTCGGCTTTCGGGTACATTTAATCACTAATCGCCCTAAATGCTATGCTATTACTTATAATAATAATGTGTGTTTACCTGGATAGTCAATTTTAAAAAAGCTTATGTTACCCAATAGTTCCCTTTCAAAGAAATAGTGCTTTCAACTATTTCTTGCCATCCCAGAAATGTAAGCAAGATAAATAGATTACCTATGCCATTGTCAATGGCCAATGCTAGTGATGCTATGTGTTTTACTTTTTTTTGTTATTTTTAGCATGCATATCATGTGTTTGGTAATTGAATTTTTTGGTAATTGAACACACCACAATGCATGTTTAATTACATGTTTGATTACTTTGTTACAATCCCCCAGGAATATGTACACTAGCAGTTCCCGGGGAGGGAATTTTATTGAGCGTCTGGTCCCGGGGGCAAGGGAATATAAATGTTCACACATGAGGGGCTTTGGTCTAGCCTGCAAAAATATTGTCCCCGGAGTGGGAAGTTAGGTTTATTTATTTGCCCAGGGGTGGGGAATTGACATTTTGCAATTAAAAAGCCCGCAAATCCCCGGGGGTTGCCCAGGGGATGGTAACAGGAAGGATTGAACCACGCAATGCTTAACGTGATAGTCTAGATTTTAGAGACATTGTGTTTTAAGTTCAAACAACATCCACTCCAAAGAAAGATGTGAAAAGCAAATACTCTGCTGTTCCATCTGAGTCGCCCATTTTGGAACGAACAAACCTGGACGTTGGTGAAGCGATGGTCATTGAATCAAATTTCATAGGAGCTGATGTATCACTCGAGCTCAATGAAAGGTAATAAATATATATGCGTCATATGTATCGGATCGTCTAACATCAAAGGAAATACTCCACTGAAGAGAAACTCAGATAATCTTCAATATAGCGAATTAAAGATTTAGCATCTGCAAGTATACCACATAATTATGTTGGTTAATATATCTAAGTAGGCAGAAGTTCATGACCCCACAAGCTTTGTAACTTTAATCATTATTATGATTAAATACAGTTTTACCTATCTTTATCTAATAAGTTCTTTGTATGTTTGCATGGCGATAAAACATATAATAGTTTTGTTTGTGGAAACACCACGTAAATTTATTACTGAAAAAAAAAATAATAATAATAATATAATATTATATAATATTATTATATTTATAATTATTATAAATTTACGTGGTGTTTCCACAAACAAAACTATTATATCTTTATCTAATTATTACTCAAAGTGGCACAATAATGACTAGTTTCACTTACCATACCACCAGTGATTATTCTCTTGCTCAAGACTGCATTTATGCAAAAGGTATTGCAAAGGCATTTGTTTTTTTTCTGATATTCTCTGTGTGAGAGCAAAATGAAATACTGTACTTAATTAAGTTGGGTAATGAAACAATGATAAGTATGTAAAATACCGTACGTAATGTCATAGGTTGCTAATATTATTAAAACCTATTTGCATAAATCTAGTTGTACTACTGAACCACTGGATAAAGCAAATACATCCTTGTTCAGTGATGATGAAGGAGAGTCCACTGATGACAGTAGTTCGAATGAGGATGTCAGGTATGACTTTGTGGTTAAATGTCATCATTAATATTGATATTAAATTAATATCTTATCATTCATGCATGATGCTGTTACACAGTAGAGTGTTTAGGGAATGGACATGTACACCAGCTGAAGTACTGAGTATTCTTTTACGAATAATTTATTAATAAGATATATTTTTTACAGAATACATGAAACTACCTTATCTGTTATTGAAGAAGTGAGTAATGATGATCAGAATGTAGAGAGACAAAGTGATTCAGAATAAGGGATACAATGTGTTTGTGACCAGTGTTATGAATGTATGACCAATGTGTTTGTGACCAGTACTATGTAGTAACTTGCCATCTTTTTTTAAATATGATTGCCTAGATGGTAAAAAAGACCCATCGACGAATACCCTGACTAATCCAAAATTCAGATTCTATGTGTAATTTACACCCCTCCTGCATCCCCTATATCCCCAGTAAATCCATCTCTAGGAGGGTACATCTATTGTGTTATTGGACTTAACCAGTCTCATCGTTTTAAAATAAAACAATAATGCGACACAGGGGTGCACACTCAACAAATTGTTGGGGAGAGGGGACGATCTGGAACAAAAAATGGAACTGTCTTTTTTTAATTTTTGAACGCTACCCCCCCCCCCCAACCTATAATGTGCGTCAGCAGTTTCTCTGGTAATAAGTTCATGTATGGTTCTACTTTATTATTAGTTCCATACATGCCAATGAAGATGACTTGTCTTATTTGAATAGCGACAATGATGAAATGCTTCATTTAGAGGGCGATGTAATGATGCCCAATGATCATGAGTTACAAAAAGCTGATGGACTTTCATGTGAATCATCTAACCTTCCCCAGCAGTCGCATTCAACATCTGTCACATATGGGCCACATCGCAAGGTAAGCAGAGGGGATGAGTTGTATGCCATTCAAGAAGAGAGTAAAACAGTGCAGGAAAAGAAGTTTGTTTGCTCTCTGGATTTGCTTTTATATTTATTTCAGTCAAGATGTCAGACACCTGGGTGCACAGCTAAACCAGACACGAAGTATCACTTTGTTGGCATTACAGCGATTGTCATATCACGTTGTTCATCAGGACATAACAATAGATTCACCTCATCACATGAGCTGAATGATATTTATGCAAATAATCTCCAGACAGCTACCTCTATAATGTTGTCTGGAAGCAATTTTGCCAAAGTTGAACGGATGGCAAAATTCTTAAATCTGGAATTTATCTCTAGTTCAACCTACTATCGGTTCCAACGGTTGTACATGATTCCGGAGATAAATGAGTGGTGGTCTTCCATGAGGAGAGAAATTATAGGACAATTTCATGGGAAGGATGTAGTTGTTGGAGGTGACGGTCAATGTGACTCACCAGGCATCAATGCCAAGAATCTATGTTACTTCATGGTTGAGGTAGAGTCCCATTATATTCTTGACATTGAAGTCTTGGATAAGAGACATGTTGACCTAAAATATACCAACATGGAAAAAGAGGCAGTCCATCGAAGTCTAGATCGATTAAGAAATGATTTGAAGGTGGTTGAGCTGGTTACAGATGCGTCCACATCTGTAAAGCATTACTTGGTATGTTGAATCACCAGTTACTCATTTTATTGCGTTCGAGGGTTTACATTAACACAATTATTATAGAATACCTTTTTTGGGATCTTATGACACCTTTGCTTGAAACAGTGTGAAGTATTTGGTTTTTATAATGCCGATATGATAATAATCCCCACATGTTCCTGTGAGAATTTTCATATATTTAACAACCACAATATAAATGTTGTTCCACTCGCTATGCCGTTTCAGAAACACAATACAAAGATGTGGTGCACAGCTTGGACGTGTGGCACCAGTCTAAAATCATCAAAAAGTGTCTGGCCAAGGTTTGTATACTTTTCAATGTTTTGAGGATGTTTGGCTTGAACAATTCACTTGAGCAAGTATATTGTACTTGTCTGCAATTGACGCCTAAAAATTGTGCAATTGGGCAAGTACTACCCCTGTTTCCCACTCTCCATTTGATTATTAATCAGTGATTGTTTCCAGTCACTTTGTGCATACAGTAGATCAACTAATTTTTATTTTAATACCATTTTAGTTGGGTAAACCAAAATCAAAGGGTAAAATAAAGAAAAGATGATACAACCTCTGATGAAGAAGCTTTATTTAAAAGTTATGAAGGTATCTTCGTTGATTCATGTGAGGGGGTAATAGGGTAGTTCTCGTATGTTGGACTTAGACTCGACTTACTGCCCTTATTCAACAATCGTTTTTGGACTTAGACTTGACTTGCTGGCTTTACTCAACAATCGTTCTTGGAATTAGACTTGACTTACTGGCCTTACTCAACGATCGTTCTTTGACTTATACTTGACCTACTGGCCTTACTTGACGATTAATTTCACTTACTTTGTTATTTTTACTTTTTGCAACTCCACCACAAATGCTGTTTTTTTACAAAAATCTATTTAGGATAAACGGATTGGGCTACTGCACCACATTTGCAACGAACACCAATGGCTAGGTGGTCAATGTGATCACGACGAGGATGTGTACGATGAAAGTCTGCCATGGTTTGATCACAGAGACAAAGACTTTGTTGAACTGCAGAAAGTGATCCTAAATCCTGAATTACTTGGTACTTTTAGGTACTATATTCGATTCAGGTAAGGACGAAAACAGGTTGAAAATAGTTCACCTAATTTATGTTAACCCTTTAAGTTGCAACGTGATAGGATGCGACATTGCTGCTGTACTTTATCCTTTTACTCCATCAACGCCGTACGATTTTACTTGTCAGGGGAAGGGGGCTGCCACTCAATGGGTTAAAGGGTGCATGATAGCATGTAGAATGTGCTTAATTAACACTATAACATGGTAGACCCATTATTAACACCGTCTCTCCTTTATAATTTTACTCTATAGAGAAACTCCAACTACTGTGTTTGTGGCTACATTGCTACTTTCCAAGTGGCGTGACCATACTTTGCGATCATCCGCATACATCTTTTGTTCAATGATAGCCAGAATATGATTGTTATTCATATCATTCTCACGTCCCACTTCTTTGAGAGTGTTCAGGTGTCCTCTCCCTCTTTCATGGGCTTAAACTTGGAGATATCTTGTGTAATAATGTCGGCTACAAATCTGGTGTCCCCATAGACTGCTTCCAGATATTCCCATGCAGCATCATATTCTTGGCCAATTCCCTTTATCATTTCGAGTGATTTTCCTTGTAGACAAGATCCTAAAATGGTTATCTCATCTCGCTTGCTATATCTACTTTCAACCAGATGTTTGAAGTCAGATTTGAACGTCCCATATTCTCTGACGTCACCAGAAATATTGGCATTTTAGGCTTCTCAATGCGGAAAAGGCTTTAACTCCTGTTCACATGACTTACTATCGCCTCATTATTTTCAGATGTGTCAACTGAATCATTGGTAGAACTGCTGGGTTGGCCATTATCGTTTTGAGCTTCTTGAGTTGATATCGGTGCTGTTATCACACTGTTGTCTTGATTTCCCTCACTTGCTGCCGATATATCATTCTCATTCACTTGAACTAAATTTGAGAGGTTTTCTGCTGGTGTAGTTATAACTTCGGTTTCCATATTCTTTTCTTTCTTATCGGTTATTGTCTGTTTCTTCATATAATCTTGTGCCTCTAATTTTAAGCGGAGAAAGGTTTCCTGACACTGTTCAATCCATTGTTCTTCTTCTTCGAACTGTTTCTTCTATTAACATTGTCACTTCTCCATGTTTAGCTTCTAGGTCAGCGTATGCCTTTTCGTAATTGTCTAGCGCCTTTTGAATCTCTTCGTTCGACCGCTCCCCCCCCCCCCCCCC